CTGTGTCACTCAATGTCAAATGTTAGTACTGCTCACCTTAGATTAACCATGATGATTCTCAAATCTCGGAGTGCAGGGCAACCTCATGAAGAGCCTGTTAAAAATGTAGACACCTCTTAATGGGTTAGGGGTTTTGCTCTGGAGTGATGGGACTGTTTTAGAACTAGATGGGGTGATTGTCGCACCACATGATGAAAGTAGGGCACGGCGCTCTTCACTTAAAAGTGGCTAGTTTTTTATTATGTGAACCTGAATAAACTATTTTTCAAATGCAGAGTCCTGGGCTCCTCCCTCATGACTTCTGATTCAGAAAGTTGCGTGTGGGGCCCCACAATCTTCATCCTAAAACAATTCTGTAATTGGCTCTACCCCAATACACAATAAAAAGTTTAAAAAAAATTCTGCCCACTCCAGAACTGCCCCCAAACAATTCTGATGCAGGTGGTCCAATGACCAGGCATTTAGAAACCTCAAGAGAACACCTTCTGGGAAGTAAGGAATTTTAGACTTTTGTCAGATAGAGGAAGACTGCTGGAGTGGGGCATCAATTAACTCTCAGTTGTGTGAAGAGAACACTTAAGACTTGAGTTGGGAAAGAGAGACATTCAGTGCTTAAACACCAGTAGCTTTCAACGTACTTTACAAACTTTCTCAAATAGCTTGTTCTGAATGTACGCACAGGAGTAAGCCAAGGGTCCAACTTAGGTCACACCAGGCATAGATGTTACTTTGGAAAATAGCATTTCCCAACAGGCGGATTCAGGCCCCATTAATTTCTGAAAATAAAACTCAATGCTGGAAAGGGCCCTCTTATTTTTGTCTAGTTGCACAGTTAGGTTACTTAGGAAATAGCTTTTTATGGTCACCACCTTGCATGAGCTAGAGGCAGTGTGATCTAGCTGTTTCTGCCTTGGACCAATCGGAGCACGGATGGCCACTACCTAGGGGCGGGTTCCTGATGGAGCTATCTAACTTCTCATTGCTGATCTGCCTGGCAGGAATTCAAGGAGCTCAAACAGTAAATCCACTAAGAATTACCATTTTAACAAAAAGCACTGTCAGGGGTAGCCTGGTGGGTAACTTAAAGTCTTTCACACTCTTGGGCACTGGGGCATTCTCCCAGTCCAGCAAGGATGGGAGTTGGCTTTCTTGACATCAGCTATTCATATGTGAAGCTGCAAGTAGTTAGGTCCTAAATCCTGGGTAAGTCTAGGACAGTAGTAAAGTTTGTTTTTTAAGAAAGAGTCTTCCCTCAAAAAAACTAAAGGTAGAATTACCATATAATCCAGCAACTCCACTTCTGGGCATATATACAAAAGAACTGAAAGCAGAGTCTCAAAGGGATATTTGCATGCCCTTGTCCACAGCAGCATTATTCAGAATGGCCAAGTAGAAGTGACCCAGGAGTCCACCAACAGATAAAGGGAAAACCAAAATACGATGTGTACATACAACAGAATATCATTCAGCCTTCAGTCAGTCCAGTTCAGTTGCTCAGTTGTGTCGGACACTTTGCGACCCCATGGACTGCCGTACACCAGGCCTCCCTGTCCATCACCAGCTCCCGGAGTTTACTCAAACTCATGTCCACTGAGTCGGTGATGCCATCCAGCCATCTCATCCTCTGTCATCCCCTTCTCCTCCCGCCTGCAATCTTTCCCAGCATCAGGGTCTTTTCATTCAGCCTTAAAAGGGAGGAAAAACTGACGCATGGCACCATATAGTCGACCCTTGAGGACGTAACACTGAGTGAAATGAGCCAGTCGCAGGAAGGCAGACACCGTGTGATCTCACTTGTCTGCGGTACTCGGAGTAGTCACAGTCACAGCAGGAGAAGGGAGCTAGGGGGAGGACACAGTGGGGAACTGCTCTTAACGCATACAGGGTTCCAGTTCTACAAGATGGGAAAGTTCTGGGGATTGGCTGCACGACAATGTGAATGTACCTAATGCTACTGAGCTGTACATTTAAAAACAGTAAAGATGATACGTTTATGTTACGTGTACTTTTACCACGATTAGAACAATAAAAATAAAAATTCCTTCCTTCCTCCCTTCCTTTTCTTCTCCCTTCCTACCTTCCATCTTTCCTTTTTTTTCTTTCTTTCTTATCAACAAGTAAAATACAAACACCATCTTATGGGTCAAATATTGCAGAAATACAAAAGTGATAATTCTGCATTAGTTCCCTCCTCAGTCACAACTACTCTGCCTTTTGATGTACATTTTCCCAGCCCTTTATCTGTGTATTTTCATACATATTCATTCATGTGCACACACACGCATATGCATACATTCATATATATACACATTCATATACATTTTCACTCACACACATATTTCAGTTTAAATGGAACTCAATTTTACCCATTTCTCTGGGCTTGGCTTTTTTGCTTGAAGAACACCGTTAAGGTTGTTTCTACACTACAGGATTTCCTCAGGAGACAAGAGTTCTCTTTAGCCTGCTTCTGCTGATGCCACCAAGCCCGTGGACTCTGGAGCAGAGCGCCCAGTCATTCCTGAAGGTGCCTACTGGCTCTGCGGATAGACCGAACACAAGGCCACCACCACACCCCTGCCAAGGCCAGATAACTGGCAGCAGATGGGTTTTCTGTTGGAAGCTACCCATTTCCATCAGTGCAGTGGGCTCTAGCACAAAACCATGTCTACTGACGCATGGGTGGCGGGGACTTAGGGAAACGGTGATCAGAGAAAGGGGACAGCTGACTAGAGGCAAAGGGTGAGCACTATCTGGGAAGAACTACCAGATGGGCTTTACCACCTTTATAAAATCTGAACAACTGTATTGATCTGAGAAAAATACACTCACCCTTTTAGCCTTTTTGAAATTGAGATGATAGCACTGTTATGCATTAAAAGATGTTACCAGTCCCAAGGAGCAAGTATGGTCTTATACCAACTAATATCTGC